GAATTTAATAAGACTAGTCGTGGTTTTGAAACGATTCAATCAGATAATTTTAGAATTTAATAAGACTAGTCGTGGTTATTGCACCTTTGAAGACTGTTCGTTATCATAATTTTATACCTGACTCATCATCTTGAAGGATATCAAATCACATTATACACCTGTAGTAACATCTTTATACATCTAGACAGGCTTACTTCTAATTATCAACGTACACTATGTAATTAACTTAGAATGTAGACAGCTACTAATAAACAGATGAATTAAGATTATAATTCCAGAGATACATGTAATAAAACTAGAACCGATTTGTTATAGATATGTTTCTGTGGTAATTTGACAGTACAAAAAGTTTCTTCAGAATCATTTTTAATACAGACTTTTATACTGGGAGTCATAGTGGCTAAGTGAGTGAGATGCTGACTCACTAGCCTGGAGATCGTGGGTTCGCTCCTGGTGTTGGCCGTGAAAGTTCCTCAGTATTTTCCGACGTGGTTTGGCCTTGTCAGTGGTGCATCATGGAAGACCTGAAAAGGACAGCTGTCTAGTCATTTGGATGGGGTAAAAAAAACCTGGCAGTTGGAATTTGATATTTATAGAGTAGGCCGTAATGCCGCTGTCAGGTCAAAATTTCCCCTCATAGAACACTGTATGCCGTAAGCCCGTCTTCATTAACTGAGTCGGAACAGAACAGTGCGACGTTAAACCCCATTTCATTTATTTTTGGTCGTTTTAAGCAACTGTCAAAAATCAATCACTAAAGAAAGAATTCCAAGAAAAATGTTTAAAATATTCGGTTACCATATTGATAAACATCTCCTGTATAGAATATATTAGACGTTATTGTTGATTTACATAACTGTTTATATTTCCCATTAGAGACGCATAATCACTGCACCATGTCCGCATGATTTAAGCAGTATCAAATGAACAATAACAATCACCTAAGAGGTGTTCTGCTAATTGGCAACACAGTAGTAAGATAAATGACAAGGCTGAAAGATATGGGTAACAATTGCTGCTGGGAATATATGAAGAATTAGCAACATTGTTTCTTAGGAAATTGAATGTAGACCCAACATCAAACTTAAACATGCATTATGCAAGAGATAAATCTACATATTGCAGTTCTTTCTTTTGACCTGAAATGTTATATAAACTATCATAGTTAGTCCTGAAATGATGACCTTGATGACCTGATTTGTTTCCAGTGGAGGTTACCCCCCCTCTCTCTCTCTCTCTCTCTCTCTCTCTCTCTCTCTCTCCCTCTCTCTCATTTCATTATATCTTTGTAAATTTTGAACAGAATTGGACCATTTTGAATTGATATCCATTTCGTGATACAACTACAAATGTATATTGTAGAACAATCCCTAAAATGACTTTAGGTTTATCATGAATTATACCCACTCTAGCTACTATAAAAAAAATATCACCTAATCTTTTTTAAAAAGTATGGTTGTGTTGTTATTGAGTTCCAGTTATCTGAATTTTGGAATTAAGAGGAATTCTGAATTTTGGAATTAAGAGGAATTCTGAATTTTCAGAACATCAGAAATACTAGGCTTTTTGATAGATATCTGTCAAAAAAAAGGTCGATCGGTTACATGTGTTTCAAGTGCTTATCCATTTTATCATACCCGGTATGTAATTCACAATATTTATGATAATGAGTAGAACTAAGTAGGTATTTGTAGTCATTCATGTGTTTATGATAATGAATATATTGTTACATATATATACATGTACCCGGTATATATTATGATTGTGAAGTAGATCTTATTCTTTGTGAATATTATGACAGATGGTGCTCAATTTGATACAATCAATAAATTTATGTACCTAGACGCTGTGTACACAAAATTATACCATATCTAAAAGTATAACTCCTGTGTGACATTTCTGGTTTTTCAGTGTCAGTTACGCTATACTGTACATGTATTGCAAATTTTATATATGCGTATCCTTTACTTAGTACATACAGATACAGATGTGATATTAGCCCAATTTCCCAGTAAAAACTTTTTATATACTGTACTGTCGTTCTCTAGTAGATATGATCAATTTGTTTTATTGTGTTCACCAGGTAATTGCTACCTGGATGGTTTTAGACATGTCTCAAACAGTTATACCAGCTGTCAAATATCCCTTGCTAGCACAACATGATATTGTTGGAAAGCAATCGTTGAGGCATATGAAACTAAATCTGAAAGAAGAGGAGAATCAAAATCTAATTAAGATTCCAGCTCTGGGTGACAGAACACAATTTATATATAGAAAACAATTACTGGTTTGTGCACATATAACACAACATTTCGATAAGTAATGTGGGCAAAACTACTGTATACAGAGAGAGAGAGAAATGGGGTTTAACGCCCACTCGACACAAACTAGGTCATTTCGGGACTAACATATGGTTTAATTTTATTTCAATAATTTGCTTGCACGTATGGGTTTTTAGCAGTAGGAGGAAACCGGAGGTCCCAGAGAAAACCCACAAAGTTGGACTGGCGACTCTACTCCCATAAGGTTAGGCAGGCAAGTCTGTATACAAGCCTGTAATAATTTGCTTGCACGTATGGGTTTTTAGCAGAAGGAGGAAACCGGAGGTCCCAGAGAAAACCCACGAAGTTGGACTGGCGACTCTACTCCCATAAGGTTAGGCAGGCAAGTCTGTATACAAGCCTGTAATCAAAACCAAATCACTTGACTCAATGACCAAACGAACCCACAACAACCATACAGGGAGATTAACTGATGGTTATCACATTTCTAATAACATTATACCAGAACTGAAGCATTAATGGTTTAACCATTATATCACAACAAACAGTGTACAGAGATGAGAACTAACTTAGTGTGGTTTATACTATCAAATAGCCAATGGCGGTTAAACTAATTCTGGACAGAGGATGGCTTCATCCTTTGACATTTCAGATTATTGTGATATTTGTAACCCATACCAACAATTGACACAGAAGTTGTTTTTATTCACCGGTATACATATAATTTATTTAACTCTCACTAAAATACTATCTGATTCGACATTTCAATCATTTACAAATATAGGTTATTATCATTCTTGTTCTTTTACTCATTGAGAACAAAAATATCTATAGACTCTTCTTCAGAATCAAGTGGTTTTGATGTACATGTAAGTTATTTATTATAATAGAAAAGAAAAGATCAACCCACTCATTTATCAGAGATGGAAAAATAACCGTGAATAAAATCCTCATCAATAACAAGAAGCATGTTATTATCTACTTTGTTGTCTGTTTCTTTTGTAAACCGATTAATACACCATCTCCTCTTTGTCTTTATGTCTTCTATTCCTGTTTTCTGGTCTTGGAAGTCGTGTATTCATAGAACAAGTGTTTGTCCATGTGTAAATTACTGACGGGGGTCACTATTAATGGACACATAAACAAAAGAAACAAAGTTAGTTTATAAATTAAATGGCAGTTTTATATTTTTGATTCGTCACATGGAAATGTGGGCGTGTATTGCTGTTGTCTCCGTCTTGTGAACACTCTACAGACTAAATGTACATTACATGTGATCTTTTTAAAATTTATATGTTGCTTACATGAGTGAGATGAATTTTTCAAAACTTTCCAGTAATTTCATGGAAGCCTAGAATCTTGTGAATACTTTAACAACAAAAGTTACTATCCAGTCTCTATGATGGGTTGGATGACCGAATGGTTAGCGTGCGCGCGCTGTATCATAAAGTCTGTCATTGAGTCGACTGGCATGGTTTCGAATCCCCGGTTGTACGTGACAAGGAGTAGGGTCGCCTGTCCAACCTCTTGGGTTTTCTCCGGGTCCTCCGGTTTCCTCCCACTGCTAAAAACCTGTATGCGCAAGCGAATTATTGAAATAAAATTAAAACCATATGTTAGTCCCGAAATGACCTAGTTTGTGTCGAGTGGACATTAAACCTCATTTCTCTCTCTCTCTCCCTCTCTCTCTAGTCTCTATGAAATTCATTTGCATTATTCAAATTGGTGAAATGAAGAAGCTGATTGAATTTCAATAAGTTCCGTTAATTCCTATTAGAGTTCAGGTCCTTGTTTTATTTTTAAATAAAATAGAATCTTTTGAATAATAACGAAAAAAGTTATCATCCAATTTGTATGAAATTGAATTAGTGAATTACTCAAATTAGTGAAACAAAGCTGTCTAATTTCTGTTAATTATTTGACCCTATGACCCTAAAGATTTTGGGGTTTTTTTACCTTAAGATTAACAATGCAACAATTTTTGTGGATTGCATGGAAGATTCAGCTGCTGTGGGTGTATATTTTGTTGCCTGACAACCCACCTTTATGTAAAAATGTTCACAAAATATTGTGCAAACTATGATAACACTTGACTCAATGACGGACCTTATAATCTTTAGCTCAATTCCTTAAATGACAGGTAAAAGAAAGGTTAAATATTCTCAAGACAACACAAGGTATATAATGGACATAATAACTACTTCTCTGTTATTCAATAATGGCGTTTCGTAACACTGAAAACTTGACCTGACCCCGAGTTCACAAAACATTCTTGGACTTGTGTTAAGAATTTACACAAAATTGTTTGCCTTATTTTAACTAAAATATAGCCCTTTATCAAACTTTTTGTTGTTTTAATGTATCAAATACATCGATAAGAAACTATGTGCAAAGTTTTGTGTTTCTGGATCAAAAATATTTTTCATAAACAATGATTGAAAGTTGGGTAAATTTCTTAAGTAAACTCTGAGAATGCCTTGTGAAACCGTGGCCTGTATGTTTTACGAAACGTTGTTATTAAGCAACAAAGAAGTAGTTGCAGATCTACCCAGGTCAACTGCTATTTGACAGTAGGTGGGGGAACATTAACATAAAACCTTATTCTCAAGATCGATAATTCATGAACATCATGATCACAGTACGTGTATGTCATCCATCAAGCAACCTAATTTGGACAAAAAAAGGTTAGTCTTAATTGTTTTATTCTTTAAATTTCAGCTATGGTTTTCAGCAGGTGGGATGGCCTTCAACCAAACCTCCAACCTTAAAGTAAAAGATGGACAAACAACTTCAGCTGAGAATGCTCTATTAGTTCGCCAAATGGTAAGTATTTTCCTTGATTGACATTTAGTAATTAACAAAAGGTACAATTTTATGGATACACAATTACTCAGTTTAATACCAAGTGACGTTTCGATGAGGGTACATTTATCGTGTGCCTATGGACATCATATTGGTAGAATTTACAACTCCGAGGCAAAAGCTAGCACTCAACTAGCTCAAAGCTGGGCTGAACATTTTTAAAAATTGGTAGAACCATTATTTTTCAGGAATTGTTATTAGTACAGTACAAATTCTCTAAGCCGGCTTCTGAAATGTTTGACACTTACTGTTATCTTGTTAGCCATCAATTATGTAGTCTCTAATAACCAGGTTAATGCCTTATTGGTTTTGTTATTACAACAAGATATTTTAGTAGAACCACAAGTCTTTCAGTGAAACCAGGTCAAAGATGATTTGGCACAGATGTTTTCCTCAATATTCATTGGATACAAAAATATATGTCTATTTAACACACACATAATTTTATATGGTCCTTACACTCAGCTTGGTATCAGACGCAGCTGCTTGTGTTTTATTAACAGACCATTTCAATAATTAATGCCCTTTAACTTTTCATAACCAGATCAGGTCTGGTGAAATCTACATAATTACAGTACTTTTATTTTAATAGTTTTCCATTACTAGTCCATAAATATTTTATATCCTGGCCAGAAACGGCCACAGATCAGCAATGATTTCCTCACTGACTTTAATGTTAATTCTCGTCTCTTAGACCGGTTCTAACTTTTTTCCCAATTTTCGTTGGGCAGAATGCTTTCTACCACAGATGGAGCAACATGTGGCAACCTCTTGCTCAAAAGCATGTATGAGGTTCACCATGGAAAACTTGAGATACACAAACTGGAAGTAAAGACCAATAAACGTGCAATTTGCGGCTCTACATTTCAACCTAAATGTAACCAACCTCGCAACCATTGTATCCTTCCACCTCAAAATCATGAATATTCACCAAAACCTGGCAGAAAATGTATTTTCAAACCCTTGTCTTCGATTCTACATCAAAAAGTCAACAAAAATCGCCATGAAAAAGGGGGAGAACGACTAAAAATAACGTTCACCCTACCTTCGTGGGTGACGGCGTAGGAATATTTATTGAGCTGTGTCCAAACAGTGAGCAAGGGAGATAAATTGCTGAATATGCCCATCTACTCTGTAAAAGTTTGAAGGGGTTTTCCCTATTAAACATTTGTTTATCACACGATTCATTCGACTGTATTGTCATTATTCAGCAAACCCTGACAGGAGAATATATATAAAACTCTTGCTGTCACATGTCAACAAAAGAAGGAATGCACTAAGAGAGAATGAATGACATTCATATATTTTGTGCATGTAAAATTGTCATGTCTCCCAAATGCTTTCCTGCAGTAGATATAAAATAGAACAATTTAAACTTTAAAAAAGAAACGAAAGAAAAGCAAAATGAAATACAACCTGTGTTTTAAGCATATTGTTAAGAGTAGGCCCTAGTGCTGCTGTCAGGGCAAAATTTTCCTCAGAGCACACTGCATTGCATAGGTCCACCTACATTTGCCTGGTTGGTGCAGAAAAGTATTGTAAGATTGATGGTAAAAGGGAAGTAACTCTTGTGAAAGTAAACTGTGGTGAGAAATGTTAAGTTGATGTGTAACATGAATGATATCATCAGAAGAGAAAAAGACAAATGTGTACTCGACAAAATGACAGAGTGAGAGAGAGAAATGGGGTTTAACATCCACTCAACACAAACTATGTCATTTAGGTACCAACACATGGTCCAAATTTATTTCAATAATTCGCTTGCGTGTAAAGGTCTTTGGCAATGGGAAGAAACCGGAGGACCCAGAGAAAACCCATGAGCCTACAAAATGACAAACACCAGCTAGAGGACATGTGGCTTACAAAGTTTGAATTTTAGCCTGACATCATCTGTGACTGGTGTTTTATTTCCAGACAGGACTAACTTGACTGAAACACACCATGATACTGCAGCACCAAAACCTGTGTTTGTTTTACACGGGGATTGAATGGTTAGCACGTGCATGTTGTATCATAAGGTCTGTCAATGGGTCAACTGGTGAGGTTTCGATTTCGGTTGTAGGTGACAAGGAGTAGGGCCGCCTGTCCAACCTCATGGGTTTTCTCCGGATCCTCTGGTTTCGTCCAGTTTCCTCCCACTGCTAAAGACCCCTACTCGCATGCAAATTTTTGAAATAAAATTGAACCATATGTTAGTCCTGAAATGACCTAGTGGACGTTAAACCCCATCTCTCTCTCTCTCTCTCTCTCTCTCTCTCTCTCTCTCTCTCTCTCTCTCTGTTTTACACATCTGGAAACATATCCTGCTGAATGGAATATTGCGAGTTGACTAAACAGCCAATAATGGACCAGAATATAATTCAATGAAATGAAATGGGGTTTAACGTCCTACTGTTCTGCTCCTAACCTGGGCTAATGAAGACGGGTATACGCCATACAGTGTGCTATGAGGGAAATTTTGCCCGGACAGCGGCACTACGGCCTACTCTTATATCGAATTCCAACTGCCAAGGGATCTTTTACGTGCACGCCAATGTGTACACGGGACCTCGGTTTTTCGTCCCATCCGAACGACTAGACAGCTTTCCTTGTCAGCCCCTCCGTCCTGCATCACTGACAAGGGAGAACCACGCCGGAAAATCTGGATGAACTTTCTCGGCCAATGCAGGGATCGAACACCCGACCTCCAGGCTAGCGAGCTAGCGTCTTACCCACTTAGCCACGTGATCCCCAGAATATAATTCATATTGAGATCAATATTAGTAATATATTTAGAATAAGATTATTATATTTTATACACAACAATTTCATTATCATATAGTAATCAATTTTGAATCAATATATAAAAGCTGGTTGTGTCATGTTTCAAGATAGAATCTGTCACATTTAAAGGGAAATAACTCTTGTTACACCCTGACAGATTCATTGTTCTAGCCTACTGATTATTGATTTGCAAGCATCTTAAAATTTAACACATATAATTGTAGAATCAGATATTATCTATTTATATTTGGAAATTATAACCTAAATTACATCAGTGAAAGGAAAGGAATTGATTCTTAAGCACAAAAATTACATCCTATCACATACAAAAGTCAGATATGATACCCCTGGACAGTGGCACTACAGCCTACTCTTATATCGAATTCTAACTGTCAAGTATACACATTGGCATGCACATAAAAGATCCCATGACAGAGTTTGATATAAGAGTAAGCCGTAGTGCCGCTGTCCAGGCAAAATTTCCCTCATAGCACACTGTATGGCATATGCCGGTCTTCATTAGCCCAGTTCGGAGCAGAACAGTAGGACGTTAAACCCCATTTCATTTCATTTCTGCACAAATACTTGCTACAATAATGGATGTACAAAATTAGTAATGGCGCAGACGCCTGTACATCTTAATATCTGAAAAGAGAATTTTAATTTTTGTTCAGTTTCCATTTTAACACATAGATTAAAACGTAACATCCTTTTCTAGTGAAATTGTCCTTATTCATGGTAACAATTTTGTAAAGCATTGAGGAATAGTTTTTTTTTTAAATTTAGATACAATGCAGTCATGGTGTTTTTGAGAAAAGGAATGGTGAGACACCTAGCTAAAATGGGCTGTGGGTAAACACTCTAGATCTATTTGGTGTTAGATTCAGTTCATGCCAACATTGTTGAACTCTTCCGGGAAATTGATAATTAGTATTCTAGAGTTGATTACTATTTAGTCTGGCGTTGATTAGTCAATGGTAGTCATACCCGACTCAATAATTACTATTTAGTCCAGCCTTGATTAGACAATAGTAGTCATACCACAGTCATTGGTGGATTCTACAAATCAATTAGATACTCACCACAGATCAGTGTTAGGAACGAAGGTGTCTAGAAAGTAAACTAACTTAAGGAATCGTTCTAGAACTTATACTCAGATTATCCAGATAACTCTAAACTAAAATAGCGCAGGATTCATTCCTTCAAAGTAATCGGTTTACCTTTAATCTAAATTTTATAAGCTGGTGCCACTTTTCATTTGTTTGGTTGGGGATGCGTTAGTTGAGCCGTAAGGCCACTAGAATCTAGACTCTCGACTAAAATATCTCAGGTTGGAATCCAGGGTCCTGTTTCTCCAAATCTTAACTAAAGATAAACTCCAAATTTTAGTAGATACTTCAATTTTGATTGGCTAAGCACTAAAATCAATCTAATATTATCCAATCAAATATCGAAATGTTATTTTCTTAATGACCAAAGTATTGCGTTATCGAGACGTTAAACCCCATTCCATTGGATAGTAGAAAAACTTCTGTGCAAATAAAAAAAGAAATTTGTAGTCTGCGGTTCATTAATTGAAATTGAAAATCTTCAGAAATAAAGATCCTCGCTGTTCATGCCCGATATTTTCTCTGGCAAATAAATCCAGTTATCCTTAATGTATTAAATAACCATTAGCTTTCAAACAACTAACATAAAACCTCCATTTGGTGCTAAATATTCCTGAAGGTCTCTTGTCAGGGAGATTCTATTAGAAAAAAATCATTACATGAGGTTTGTTAGATCCGAATATATTTACTGTCTGTCACTCTGTGTGTCAGTGAAGAGAGCTGTCTTGATGTATATTATCATGTTTGTCAATTCCATGTTCTGAAGACACTATAAAGATGCCCAAATAAGGTCGTTAAACTTACATAATGGCTGTCTTAATGCTTAGGGAGAAGCGCATAAAATTTAATGACATTTCTTCCCACAATGGTCCAAACAAGGTGTTAATTTTCTAATGGACGAACCACAGCCATTGTATTTTTTGAGCATTTTCTGGCTTAAAAAACAAATTCAATACATGGTTCTAATGGCCCTTGTCCTAAAGAGATATTAATCTGTCCATGTGCATCAAGGTGAATCTTTGGGGCTGAAATGCCATTAAACCTTATTTCATTTATTCATTATTTACTATAACAAAAGTTTAGAGATAC